GGGCCTGAAAAGTGGGGCTGGCTGGGAGGCCAGTAACTACCCTCTAACTACGTGCTTACATCCAGTTGATGAGCGAATATGGACGCTGGTCGTGTGCCTCAAGTGCTGCATAAATTATGCATGCAATTTGAAGTAACTTTCCGTTGCCGAAAAATATGCAGTTATTAGCAGTTAACTGAATGCATAAGGCTCGTTTATTTTGACCTATTTTGTGGCTATTATGCAGGACTTTAAATTCTTTTCTTACTAGTAAAAGATAGTTCAAACGCAACGTCCTAAATTTTTCAAACATTTATCATTTTGGTATGTCGTTTAAAATGGCCCAAATCCATTAGCTGGTGTAAATGGGGCTTAAGACATATTCCCCCGAAAAATGACGGTATGCAAATGAAGCCCAGTTTGCCGGGGCTGGGATTGGATTGGGTTAACTGGCAATTTGTGCTGCTGGCACTGTTCCGGGGCTGCAAAGTCCACAGTTCGCCGCTAACCAGAACAAATGTGCCACGGACATGACGCTTTTCCGAAAAGGGGGATGTCGGGATGGTGGGATGGCGCTGGGAATATGGAATGGCAGCTAATTAATAATACGAAATTGTGCTCCCGGCCGGGCTGGGAGGAACTGGCGATGAAAACCAAACATGGCTGCCGTTTCACAATTTTCCGATTGCCAAGCGACCAAGCGACAAGGATGCAGGATGGACGCCATTGTGATGGTAGGATATGGCTGAGAAACGCCATCAGTAGTGGCTTAAAGTTTATGCAAGTGCACTGCGCGAAATAGATGAGAATTTAATATTTTCTAATATAGCCATTTTCTCGGGCCATATATTATCCTGTAGCTCCAAACTGCGACCATCGGGCATGTCCAGCATTTGCGAAAATTGCTTAAAAATGAACCCGACTCTGACAGTTGATGGATGAGCTAGAAAATTTGGCTCGCCACGCCCCCGTATATAGACCCGTATATACCCATATCTTGCCGAGCCGCGCCCACAACTCTCATCACGAGCAACTAAGTGCTTGCCAGGGGCGGGGGTGGGGGGCAATGGGGTCGCCTAGTGGGTTAAGAGCTCCCAGCAACAACAACGAAGAAGCTTTAAAAATTTCATATCTATTTTTAGTGCTTCTGTTGTGTTATGGATCTGGCTCTGCTTATTTCCATAGTTATTTTTCATGCATTTTTGCAACGGCAGCCGAGCTGCTCCCACTATCACACTCTAGCTCGCTGCCGACACTGCTGCTGGTGCCTTTGATGTTGCAAGTTGCATTTTTTTTCACCCAGCACTTTTCTTTATCTTTTTATTTTTTGCTAGTCGAGTGTGCTGTGCATTTTTGCGAGCGTTTTTTAATAAATCATGCGCCACGTAAGCTGACTTTCATGTACAGGATACATTTCCCTCTCAGCGTATATGCGGCGATGTGGTGGTGTGTGGCAGAGTGAGTGATTTGCATATGTTGTGAGTGCCAGGGCTGGAAAATTTGCCAGCCACAAATGCACTTTGGCCCAATTAGTTGCCAAAATGAAGTGAGCCGAAAAGGAGGCGGGCTTCCCCGGCATAAAGGCTCAATATGCATCTCATCATAAGACCAGATACCAGCCCTGGTTTCCATCTGTCTGCCCGACCACCACACAGACACATCCACAAATCACTCCTGCCACACCCAGCACCCAGCACCCAACACCCACAATCCTACGTCCATCGAGAGGGTCGTTAGGTTGGGGTTTCCTCCGAAAAATCCTGTTGTGCCGGTTGTGCCTCGTCACTCGCCATTGGGTGCAAATTAATACACTTGCGAGCCACGAGGGAGAGCTGCACAGCGATCTTGTTGCAGTGTTTGTGGGGTTTCTCCGCTGTTGCGTTACTGCGGTTTTCCGGCTAACATGGGTTAAGTTGGTGTGGGGGTGCTGCCCGTCTGACTGCGAACAGAAGCAAACGAGCCGGCAACAAAGTTTCCTCTGTTCGCTCCTGTGTGTTTTTTGCCCTCCACACATGGCTTAATATGCAAAGTTATGGTCCAAGCCACTGATGGTAAATAAGAATAATATGCAACAGTCATACCTCTATAAATTGAACTTTGTCAAATGGAAAGGTTTGAGGTATTCTATTTCAGGATAAGATAGAAATTGGCCAAGATATGGGCATAGTTTGGGGCCATATTGACAATTCACGTTTTTTGCTAGGGATACCCCTACAAAAATTAGAAAAATATCGATCGAAAATGTTGTTCCCAGGTTTTTATGCAGAACGATGAAGAATTTATCCACAAATCGATCAAGGTATTCCGCTCAAGGATTGGATTGAAATTGGCCAAGATATAGTTTAGAGGCCAAGACAGTTTGGGGCCATATGGAGAAACACGTTTTTTGCAAGGGATACCCCCACAAAAATTAGAAAAATATCGATCGAAAATGTTGTTCCCAGGTTTTTATGCAGAACGATGAAGAATTTATCCACAAATCGATCAAGGTATTCCGCTCAAGGATTGGATTGAAATTGGCCAAGATATAGTTTAGAGGCCAAGACAGTTTGGGGCCATATGGAGAAACACGTTTTTTGCAAGGGATACCCCCACAAAAATTATAAAAATATCGATCAAAAATGTTGTTCCCAGGTTTTGATGCAGAATGACGGAAAATCAGTCCACAAATCGATCGAGGTATTCCGCTCAAGGATTGGACGGAAATTGGCCAAGATATGGGCATAGTTTGTGGCCATATAGGGAATTCACGTTTTTTGCAAGGGGTACCCCCACAAAAATTGGAAAAATATTGATCAAAAATTTTGTTTCTAGGTTTTGATGGAGAATGATGGAGAATTTATCCATAAATCGATCAAGGTATTCCGCTCAAGGATTGGATAGAAATTGGCCAAGATATGGGCATAGTTTGTGGCCATATGGGGAAGTCACGTTTTTTGCAAGGGGTCCCCCCACAAAAATTGGAAAAATATCGATCAAAAATTTTGTTCCAAGATTTGATGCAGAATGATGGAGAATCAATCCACAAATCGATCAAGGTATTCCTTGTGAGGATCGGATGAAAATTGGTATACAATAGATATACAATCCAAGATATACAATAGACAAGCCGTCTTATTGAAGTTGGACTGTAGGACGTTGCTCGTTTAAGCCAACTTCAATTGCTGGGTGTTTTGGTAACAGTTTCGGAATATTATTAATGTCTGCCGAATGGCAGGCCCCACTCTGCAGCTGCCTTTCCCCATTTCTGCTCCAATCCACTAAAGTGCAGCACACTTTGGGGCTGCTCATAAATATCAAAATATATGTATGAAGAGTTCTATGTATGTTTGTGCTCCGTGCCAGAGCGGAGGTCTGCCGGCTGCACGTTTAATTAAAGAACCCCGGCTTTTGGCTCGATATAATAAACTGAAATATAGACAGGGAGTCGGAGGACACGGACAGACGGTGGGAGAGCCGGAAGGAGTTTAATAAATTGCCACGACAGGCCCCTCAGGTCCCTGCCTCTAGTTTGCAACCTCCCTAGCCGCCACACTCTCCTTCCATCAACGCTTGTTACAACATTTCAATTAAAAGTTAAACGTGCACGTAATTATGCGGACTACAAGGAAAATGTGTAAGTAATATTCTGCCGGCGCTGACTCAGAGAAAAGCGCATGGCGAAAAATTAATTAACCAAAAGCTTAAAGCAAAAAAGCAAAAAAGAAAAGGCCAAAATAAAAATTAGGAAAATCCCTGGCTCAGTATCCAGACCAGGCCAGACCTTTTGCTGTAGCCCCCAGGCTTTTGGTCGAAACCGCTCGTGCATGTGATTGGGTTTTTGAAGCCAAAGCTTAACCCCAATATTTTTTTCATCTTTTTTGTGAATTAACACCCACGCCTGGAAACCGGAGAGTAAAAAAAAAAAAACAGATGAAAGCGAGTCTGTTAATTGATAATGTACAAAATTGAAATTGCACAGAAAAATAATTGAGTGTCGGGCGTGGAGCAAGGCAAACAAAACCTTTTATCAACCAGACGACTACAACACATCACTTTGTATTCAAATGAACTCACAGACATGGTGAAAAAAGACGATTGAATAGGAGCTTGTCGGTTCTATTTGGCTTCAATGTAACATCTCACATATGGCCATGAATTTCAAGACAAAAATACTCAACATTTGCGGAAGACATAAGGGACAGGACAGGATTCAGAGTTCAAGAAAGGAGCAAAAAAAAGAAGGACTCAGACAAAATAAATGGAATTGATGGAGTGAACACACATACCCTGCCATTCCACTGCACATGAATTATGAAGTAACCAAAAAGCTTCTACAGAGAAAGAAATTTTAAAATTGAAGTGTATTAAATACTGAATAGAATTTTAATTGGAAGACCAGCCATATACCCGCCTTTAATCCTTAAAAGAAATAATCTTAAATCATCCAAAAATCTAATAAAATTTCTTTCACTTTAGTTAGGGATTTCAAACAAAGAAGAGCAAGTGGATTGAACAGCGATTAGGGCGGGTAAACACAGGAATTATGCATAGAATCGAACAGAGAAGAAAGGGTCCAAACAAAGAGATAGAATGGAAGCAAGAAACTCAGGCTTAGGACTCTGAAAAAAAATCCCAAATGGGGCCCAGTATTGATAAGGCCATAAGAGGAAGCAACCAGAAAGCTTAGACAAAGAAATGACAAGAAACAACAACCGAGGAGGGAAACAAACAAAAATTAGAATTTGTCTACCAGTCGTAAAAATTTAAATAAATTTAAGATGCCCACGTTAATGTACAGAAATAAATACAGTAGAGACTAGCAATGAGAGTTTATAAGTAACTTAAGAGCTCTTAACAGATTGTAGTCGAAGTTCCAAGTAAAATAAGCAAAAGCAAACACCTTACATCGAATCTCCACTGTAATGATCGCCTAGCTCCAAGCTTTGTTTATCAGCTCACACTTTGATCTCAACCCACAACAACAAATGTAGTAATAACAACGACCACGTCTCAACCTTCGACAAGCTGGGATTCCGATCCAAGTTTCAGTTCCAAGTCGACACTCGAACGGCAAACAGCTCGACGGAAAGGAAAACATCTCGAAAATGAAATTCAAAACCCTAGCGATCGTATCGCTTTGCCTGGCCAGCATCCAGGCCTCTAAAATTGGCCAACAGCAGCCGCAGTTACCAAAGAAACATCTGGTCTGCTACTACGATTCGGCCAGCTTCGTAAAGGAAGGTGAGTACTTAGGAACCAGTGCCCTGTAAGGCGGAAATTAAAAAAGTTATATAATCACCACACCGACAGTTGGTAGTGAGAAGTGATGAAAGCGAAACCGAAAATAAAATCCATCCAGGCTTATCAAAATTAGAAGTTTGTTTGCTACTCGAGTCGGATGTGGCAGCGATAACGTCATTCAGGGTGAAAAAATACAAATATTAACTAAATTGATAATAAATGTAGAAAACAGCCTTAGGAACCTGCTAGAAAAGCTCTCGTATATGTGAGAATGAAAAGATTTGTGCTATAATGTGATTGTGATCTAGGTCTTGGCAAACTGGTGATCGATGAGCTGGAGCCGGCCCTGCAATTCTGCGACTATCTGATCTACGGCTATGCCGGAATCGAGCGGGACTCCCACAAGGCGGTGAGCCTGGACCAACAACTGGATCTGGATCTGGGCAAGGGACTGTACCGCACGGTGACCCGCTTGAAGCGAAAGTACCCCAATATCAAGATCCTGCTCAGCGTGGGCGGCGACAAGGACATTGAGACCGACAAGGATGCCCAGGAGCTGCCCAACAAGTACCTGGAGCTCCTGGAGAGTTCCACGGGCCGTACTCGCTTCGTGAACACCGTCTACTCCCTGGTTAAGACCTACGGCTTCGATGGCCTCGACGTGGCCTGGCAGTTCCCCAAGAACAAGCCCAAGAAGGTGCACAGTGGTCTGGGCAGCTTCTGGAAGGGTTTCAAGAAGGTCTTCACCGGCGACTCCATTGTCGACGAAAAGTCTGAGGAGCACAAGGAGCAGTTCACTGCCCTGCTTCGTGATGTGAAGAACGCCTTCCGTCCAGATAACCTCTTGCTCTCCACCACTGTCCTGCCCAATGTCAACTCCTCATGTGAGTAGTTATTATCTTCCTTAGAGGTATATGAAGTCTGGCTTTCTTTGTATCCCCAGTGTTTTATGATATTCCTGCTGTGATCAACTATTTGGACTTTGTCAACCTCGGAGCCTTTGACTTCTTCACTCCCCAACGCAATCCCGAACTGGCCGACTACTCCGCCCCCATCTATGAGCTCAGCGAGCGCAATCCCGAGTTCAACGTGGACTACCAGGTGAAGTTCTGGCTCCGACACAGCTGCCCGGCCAGCAAGATCAACGTTGGCGTGGCCACCTACGGCCGCCCCTGGAAACTGTCTGACGATTCCGGAGACACTGGTGTTCCACCAGTTTCCCATGTGGTAGACGAGGCTCCAGTGGGTGCCAACACCCAGGTGCACGGCATCTACAGCTGGCCTGAGGTGTGTGCCCTGCTGCCCAACCAGAACAATGCCTACTCCAAGGGCGCTAACGCTCCCCTGACCAAGGTCGCCGATCCCGCCAAGCGTTTCGGATCCTACGCCTACAGGGCGGCTGACAAGAAGGGCGACAACGGCATTTGGGTGAGCTACGAGGATCCCGACACCGCCGCCGACAAGGCCGGCTATGTCCGCACCAACAACCTGGGCGGTGTGGCCCTCTTCGATCTGTCCTACGACGACTTCCGTGGTCAGTGCACCACTGAGAAGTACCCCATCCTTCGGGCGGTCAAGTACCGTTTGGTCAACTAAACAAACTCCCACTTGACCACTTCAAAATATTATGCTTTATCAAAAAAAAAAAAGAACAAAAAGAATTGTTATGTCAATAAAGAACCTGTAGAATAACTGCTGCTCTTGTGAATTAGAGCTTAGGAGGCACGAAATTAAGCTTGACGGGGTACTTTACTTCTAGAGGGTGTCTTTTAAGAATAACTCACTTTAATCTTTTAAAAATGCCTTCTCTTGTTCCCCCAGGGATGTCTTTAAATATCGATTTTCTCCCTCTGCGGAATATAATTTATCGACTCCCTGTCCTGTTACAACAGAAACGGAATTCTCTGGGGAATATTTAGGCAGTGGCTGTGACTTATGCGCTTCGGGCTTCATGCTCTGATGAATTGCCGAAATCCAATTGACTTTGACAGAAAATACATCGTAATCGGCTTCATCATTAAATCCACCAGAGTGGCTGGCTTCCCCCAGCCCCTCTGGCACTACCGATACCCGAAAAAGCACTGAATTGACTGCTCAACATTTGTCATTGAAGCGAAAACGTCGAAAATTTCGCATACGCAGCGTGTTCTACACCCATAAGGATACGGTTTTTTGTAGCCCTGTGCTATGCACGATTTCACAACTACAACAAAAGCCAGACAAAGGCATAAAAAGGCTCTTCAAGTGGAGAGCTTCGTACGCACAGACAGGCAATTCGAATGGAATAAACCAGAAACGAAAGAAATGAAATGAAACGTGCAATGGTCGAGATGAGAGCGCTCTATCTCCGGCATAGGGATAGGGATAGGGTCTGCCTCCCCACCTCTTCAATTTCCATTCTCTGAGGATATTAGAAAGCATTTACCTTGCCGCACAGGCCCCATTACACACGCAGCCTGAAAGGGAAACACAGACGAGCAACCACGACGACAGCCTAAACAATTTTTAAAGGTAAAGTTTGGCTGCGAAATTCTTGTTAGCAGTGAGGTTTCATGAAAATGAACGAAGCTACCAAAATTATATTAAAAACTGAGACTAATAGAGGATATGGTTCCAATTATTTTCTCATTTTATTAAATCTTTTTGTTAAGCTAGAAATTGTTTCATATTTCCACTTAGCAAAGATGTCCTGTATCACACAAAAAACAAGTATATTCCATGTATAGGGAATATACCCTAGGGGCAGGGTGGCATGGTGGCAGCGCGTGATGCGGGGATTTGGCACTTCAGGCACTCTTCTTTATGTATATTTGGCCGCTCTATGTATAGTTAAACGCTTCGGCCAACACTGCGTATGAGTGCTGTGTGTGTGCGTGCCTTTGGCTGTTGGAACACGCATATTGCGCATACGCCCTGGGTGCGCTATCGAATAAGTTTGTGCCTTTGCCGCTGCTACTCTTTATACTCAAATAATTGGATTAGTGTTTCAACGCCCTACACAGCAGCCCCAGTAACCCCTGAAACCCGCAGCTAGTGCTTCAGCTCCTGCCCTGCTCCCCAAGCCCCTGGGGATCTACTCTATATGAATTTGTTTGCGCTCGTAGTTCTATTTCAGATTTTTTTCTCCTCTGTGCGGATTAGTTTTCACTGCTTTGCCGGGCACGATGTGTACAGAGTACACGTAGACGAATATATATATATATATATTGCTTTTTTGCTGCCTGCGGTGTGTTGCCAACGAAGCGAATTAGTTTTTATGTTATTTGCTCGGAATTCTTAAATATTTAAATAATCGTTGTATCCTTTCGCTGGAAACTAGCTCAAAGAAATGAAAACTTTCGCAGCGGATATTAAGTTGTTTTAAACTGATTAAATTCTCAAAGATTTATTCGCGGTAATATTTTCTTAGTTAGACTTGAATTTGATGGATGTTGCAAAGGAGTCGCAAAGCCATTAAGTAAACTCTCATATCTCCTTCACGGGCTGTTTCCATTTTTCGGCCAAATAAAAATATATATCCTTTCTTAAAAGTGACACAACTTTTACCTTCGAGGAGGAAGAGACTTCGTCTGTAGTACCCACCGAGGAAATACAAACAAAAGCTGAAGCGGAAACTTTCAGTTCTGGGGGAAATGGTATTGCCCATAACGAATATGTATTTTTGATTCCCCAGCCATGTTTATTATTGTTGTTGCTCCTTTCTGGCTAAACTCCCTTTGTTGCTTTTGTTGGCGGTGCTGCTGCCAACTCGTAACAAGTTAAGCAACTTTGGACAGACATCAGAAGTTGCTTGGAGGATTTTCGTGAGGCAGCTTTGGGACTGTCAACAGCTGCGCCCAACAGCAGATCCCTGAAAGGGCCGAGGATATATCTGAGTCTGTCTCAGGCTGTTGAGCTTTGTTTATGCCACCTGGCGTTGCATAACCTGAACAGATATTAGAAATTAGCAATTGTTGGCCTACTTTTTGGGGAAGGGAATCTCGAAGAACTTGGAGTGGCACGTGTGTACTTTCCATTATTAAAATATTAAACTTTGTAAGCTTCTAGAATTCGAGTGTTTATTTTCCTCAGTGCCTTCTTTGCCTGGCAAAGCCTTTTCAATTTTTCAGCAAAAACTTTCTACTGTCATTTACAGAGTTTCGCTGAGGATTTCGATGGGCGGTTAGTGGGTGCTTAGTGGGTGGCTGAGAAAGGGAGAGACACTCCCACCCGTCGGCCATTATCATTTCCCAGCTCATATGCGGCACGGCACTCACATGTTCCACAAGCGAGTTGCTACATTTATGGCCTCCCCAGCAGTTGGCATCCGCTCTTCGAGCCGGCAAATTGCCAATGTTGTTGTTGCAGCCAGGAAATGCTTTACTTGATTTAGCTGCTAAGTGCAACTTGAGGCAGGGCATGGAGACAGAATTCCACGCCGCATGTTGCCAGGAAGCAGCAGTGGCAGCAACAATTTCGTTGGGCCGTACAGCCAGCGAAAGGATTTTTCGGCAAGAGCACTGCCATAAATCCCCCTGGCGCTTGTAAAAACAATTATGCCAGATATTTACGCCGCAAAAAGGCAATGCAATGCAACAGAGGCAACGGCGGCAAACACTGGCATTCGGAGGCAGTGGCAGCAACAGAAACAGAAGCAAAAACACCATCGCCAGACAACGAAAATTTGCTGTTAACATTTTTGGCTTTTAATTGCAGTGTGTCGTGGCCCGCTGAACTCTGCATTTCCACTAGCCTTCCCTTCGTGGCGCCCACTTGCAATTTGTGGCCCTGTGGCGTATACGTAATATATCGCTTACATTTGCCAGTGTGTCGGTACTTAAGCCGCTCCAGCTCCAGTGCCAACTACCAACACACAAGAATCAGAAAGGGTGAGTTCGTTCTGTAATTATGATCTTTTAATTAAAACGTTAAACCAATAACGGCTGAGGAGAAAAAAATGAGAAATCTTCCGCCGGCAGTCCTTGATTGCATTCCTCGGCCCATTGGAATGCAAGGTGAAAAGTGGAAAATGGCTTAGCCGAGTCGAAGAGTAGGTTTTCCCATTCACACACAGATACTGGGGAAAACTGGAGAGCATATGGGCAGCGGCAGCAGCTGTCAGCGGATCTGAAAACCCATCGACAGTTTCGAATGTCCATTTGTGGAGCTCTCCGGCCAACCCTTGGCCCAAACCCCTGTACCACCCCACCCACTGGCAAAACCATTTTTGAAACGTGCATGTGCCAGTGGGAGTATCTAATTGCTTGTCAGTGTATGGGAAAACTTTGTACGTGTTGGACACAGGCGGTCATAAAATGCGAAAACGACGTCTGCGTGTTTTCCAGGATAACTGAAAAACAGAACTTCTTAATAAATTTTCAATATAAAGTGTTTAGAACACATTTCTCCAAGGTGTGGCTATAACTTTTTGTTATGGGTTTCTAGAAAAATTCTTTAGGCTTTGAAGCTTTTCCTTTAGTTCGTCCTTAGCATAAATTTGGTAGCTCATTCGCGGAAGGGAAAACGACTCTTAGTTCTAATAGCTCATATGGCAAACGACACATTTGTGGGCTGTACGTGAGAATGAGTGCTTCCTGCCCCGCTTGCCACACCGCTCCTGCCACACGGTGTGTTTGTATTGACAGCCGCATTCCCTTTTCACGGCAAACATTCAGTTTTTGTAGTCACGTTCGAGCGCTTTAAGCGGCTTCATGTTTTCGGCACTCCAGCGTGGCAGAGGGAAAGGGTGGTGGTGCGAATGCCACTAAACATGGGAAGGGGGCGTGGGATATAACCATAGAAACCATCGCGTAAAACAAACATAACTAAAAGCAAACACACGACGGAATAAATACCCGGGTATGTTTAAGCCAACCGCATAAAAACCCCAAAGCGAAAACTTTTCGCGTGTGGGCCAGGCCATAATCCGCTTCTGGCCCGAAAATTATACAATTTCGCCTTGAATAGACTTACGTTATGACGCTTCCTTTCACGTTCCGGAACAGCGTGCCAGCTAAACTGCAGATTCCAATCGAATCCACCCACATTGACGCCGCTAGAATCGCGGTAGTGATACTCCAGGGTATCGTCGCTAATCACATCAATTACGGGACACACAACAGTGGTCGAGTTCCGGGCAATGCGGTCCAAAAGAGGTTCCAGCCAGCCTGCAAGAGAAATGGGTATTTTTAAGTAATTTTTGGTCATCCATCATCACGAGACTTGCAGACTCTTGTGGAAAAATAATTATTTTTCCTCTTCAGGACAATTCGTGTACTTTTTGGCCAATATTTCTCAATAAACCTAATGGATTGCCTTTCTTCAGGCCCTTCAGTCTTAACAAAAAACCAACCAAACGAATAACTTCAACAGACTAGGCTTAATTCGTAGGATTAAGAGATTTTTGTACAGACCAGTGCAGGGCCAGGCCTTGTTTTATTGGCATCAATTTCGGCCCAACGGATTTCGTTTGATGGCCATCAAAATTGAGTATCACATACAACGTAAGACATGCCCATAAACGAGATTCCATGGAGAGTCCATTGGGGAAAAGGAAAATCTCAGTTAGCAGAAAGATTGTAAAACAGGCTCTGGCCGAGGGAAACAAAAAAATAATTCCATCCCACAGCACATTTAACTTTGATTTCTCGGATGATTGTTGCCGGCCGTTTGGCAGCTGCTAACATTAAAATATTTATTTAGCCTGAATTTTTTATGACCCGAAAGTGACTAGCAAAAGTTGGTTAGTCAATTAAGAGCGAATTTGGGGCATTATTTGGTCAATTAGCATATTGGCCAAATTGCAAATTGAACCGTTAAATGACAGGGATGTCAGAGGGCAGGAAAAAAGGGCTGCCTACTTTCGGGCGGCCTGAATATTTAATTCCATTTAATTTCCGAACGAAACTCACCTTCTGTGCACTCGCAGTGGGAGTCCAAATAGGTGAGAACCGGGGACTTGGCATGGTTGGCGCCCAGGATACGGGCTCGGATAAGGCCTTCTCGTTTCTGACCCCTAATAATCTGGACCTTGGGGTATGCGGCGAAGTAATCCTCCAGCTGTTTCTTCAGGTGAGCTGTAACGAAAGCATATCAATGCCAACACAATCAAAACTTGTTATAAACTTACGCATATCACTGTAGTCATCGACAAGGATTATCTTGCCAATTAAATGCTCCGGTGACCTGTCCAGCACGGAGTGGACGGTCCTCAGCAGCACTGTCCAGGCTTCGTTGTGGAAGCATATAATGACATCAGTCGCGGGCAGATTGGTCAGGTACTGGGTCGAGTCCTTGCACCAGGCATCCCGGGGATCCGGCAGGGAACGATGCACCGATACGAGATCCGAGACATATTGGTTGAAGGCGTTCTTCGTCCAGCCATCATCCACCGCCTTCTTCATGTCATCCGGCATTTCCTTGGGCAGTCGCACTGGCTTGCCCATCTCGCCGGGATTCTCATCGAAATTGCCAGGAGGATCAATCACTTTTTTGGTATCTGCAAGGAAGAAGAGAGGAAGCAGGTAGAAATGTTAAGTAAATGTTGACATAACTTTTTATTTGCCTCGAAAATTGTGAGTCGAAGGTGAGTTGGCAGAAGATAAAGCTTTGTTATGCGTGAAATTTACGACAAAATACTGTACGAGGATACGCAGACACACGTTGGCAAACAAAATTCAGTTCCTGTTAGTGCATTGCACATGAAAAGTTGCCATCATCAGAGATGCTCCTTCACAGGGTCATGAAAAATCGTTTGCCTTGCAAATTCCCTCATGTGTGTGTGTGAGTCCTAGGTCCTTTTCCACATCCTACGATACTACCATACTGCCATACTACCATCCCTTACCCCACCCCATACGTGTTTGTGTCCTTGCTGTGCATTTTATTATTTCGTTATTTGCATTTGCATGGAAATATGAAATTCTCCTGTTCTCAGCTGCTTCCATTTCTGGTGCTCGGCTCCTTTCTGGTTTTTATGCGATTTGTCAGCCACAAGTGACACTTATTGGGCATCGCCTGGATGCCTGTCTGTGTGTCCTGTCCCTCTGTACTTGTATGTATGTGTGCTCGATGTCCTTTGGCAACAACATTAATGTTACTGTCAGGGATAAAAAGGGAGACACAACCTGGCAACTGGCAACTGGGGCTCTTAAAGAGATTAAAATTTAATTAAACGAATTTCCTTTTAATCAATTTTATGGAATTATGGGGTTCTATTAGCAAAGTTTTTTTAACCTTAATTTTCTCTTAAGGTTTTCATAATGCAAGCCACTTACTATATAGAACCGGTTCAATTAAAAGCCCATAAAAACTTAACTGAATTCTTGGCCACAAAAGACTTTAACTGGTTTCTTCGTATTACATTTTTTTTTCTGGATGGCCACCGAACTTCTACTCAAATCAATTCCCACTCCAAATCGAGAAGCAACATATTCCCCTCCTTGGTCAACTTTCAGTCATGCAAAAACATTTCAATTACCACAATCATTTCAATTTCAATAAGCATAAAAAGCTGGCTGGAAAATAAAAAGCCATAAAAGGCTAGGAATAAGTGGGTTGAGTGGAATGCATGGGAGGATACAGACCGCATTATGCTAGTCACAGATATAAAAAGGGCGCCGGATGGGGGGCAGGAGAGGGCTTTGGCTAACCAAGAGGCCAATCAGCCGACAATAAATTTGTTCGCACAAAAATGAAAAATAAGAGAAAAACCATTAAATCGCCCAGAGGCGGCGGCTCAAAGGAGAGTCAGAGTATGCTAAGAGGTAGGAGGCACAGGGGACACATAAATTTTATGATTTGTCGCCGGTTGCCGTAGTTACAACTTCATTGCGGAATGTTCACGCGTGTGCCAAGGAGGACTACGGAGAAGCATCCTTAGTTCCGGATCCTGTTCTCATCCGGCTGCTCTCCCATGGGTCCAAAAACCTAGACCACACCCCTTTTGTAACGAACTTTTTTGCATGCTGGGCTCGCACACGCATCATCATAATAAAAAACAATAAAAAATAATATTGCCCAAGGACGCGGAGGAGGACTAGCAGGGACGGTAACTGGATTTTATGTCTTTTATTGATTCACTGTAGCATATTTATAGCCTCTTTGGATATTAATGATTCCGGGCCGGCAGCGAGGCGGGAACCTTATCCCCCATGGTTCCCCTTCTCTCGATTCGGGGTAACCCAATTATAGTCACGCCCTGGGACAAAAGGTGAGTCCGACAAAGTTGTGTTTTATGGAAAGTCACAGTTTACATTGCTATAAATCCTGGCCTATAAATATTCCTTTAAAAGTATTCATAATTTTTATTCACGCCAAGGTATCGAGTTTTTATGACCAAATCATTTTATTAAAAATTTTATAGACTTTTCTTAATTATTTTTGATTGGAAATTCGTATTCATTTGGGAGTCTCCTTTATATCCTTTTTGTTAAAAATTTCTATCCATTTTTGTAGAGAGAAATTTCAATAAATTCTTATTTTTTTCCATCCAATATGATCCTGAAATTACTTTCAACTTTTATGCATTTAGGAAATCGAAATTGACAATTTTTTGTCGAGTTTTCCGCTCAACACTGCGTATACGTTATATTTCCATGTCCTGGCAGCTGTGAAATGGGATGGGCAGGGGGAGAATGGGAGAGGGGTAGCTGGTGGATGATGGGCTATGCGGGAGAACGGGGTGTCCTGTGAAGACAAAAGGAGACAATCGCAGTGAACAGAGCTCAAGGGACACGCCTGAGCGTGACAGGAAGCTATAAATGTTTTGTTATAGACAGCGACAGCAGGTGGAAACGGGAGTGGGGGGCGAAGGAGTGCTTTTGGGATGGATGGGGGCGTGGCCACATGACAAATGCCTTTCGGAGTGTGTGTGCTGGAAATGTGTGCTCGTATTTGTGAAGGCATCTGACAGGGCTGCCAGACTTGCCTGCGTGCATGATGTTTCATCATGTTTTCCGCATAAAAGTAACATAATATGCCAAAGTACCGTTATTTCGCACAATGAATGAGGTTAGATTTGGCCGCCCAGGGGCATAGGGGCTCCATGTGGACGATAAATAGCAATAGACATGCGAGGAACAGATGAGAATCCATTTCTGGGATTAGCATGCATTGATTAAAGCCAGGAACCGGGCAGGAGGAAAAGAATAATGAGGAGAAACGGCCGAATCAATCTGCCTCATGTGTCATAAAGGGGGCATCCGGTGAGGAGGCGTGGTCGCATTGCCATGTATATATAAAATCATTATCGCTGCTAAATTGTAAAAACAAGAATTATGCATATATGAAGCGGCAGGCCTAAAAAACGCGTCTAAGAGGGGAAACGGCCAAGAGGAAGGATCGGGCCAGCGATCAAGATAGCATGCCTCGAAGGCAGGTTCCCGTGTGTAGAGTACAGCACTTAAGAAAATCAAAGTTAAGTATAATGGCATTATCTTACTAATAGGGCTTAGTTTTTTTCTCAGTGCCGGTGCCGAGCAGAGTGTGGGGTTGGTTAAGAACTCGATGCTAGCGCGCGATAAACGTCGTGTTGCAACCACGCTCTCCACTCGAAACCCTCAACTCTTCCCATCGAATCTTTCGGTGGTGGTAACGTGCCCCAAGGCCAAAGCCAATAAGTACAACAACACTAATTACCAGCTATGAACACAGGCCAGAGCAGCTATGGGGGAATCGCAAAAGTTGGCCAACTCCCGGCCGGAGGAGCCCTTAGACCAGCCACAGTGGTAACAATAGCCCCCCATTGGGAATCGTTTTCGAGTTATAGCCCCTAAAAGGATGATCTATTCCAGGTCTAGCTGGACCAGTCTTTTCTATAAGAATTCCCTTTCAAAGCCATAAAAACAAGCTTAGCTTATAAACCTTTGGCTAAAAGTCTGCTGAACGACTTTTAAGGGTCTACTATAAAACGGGCTTATTTATAGATTTTATTGAAATGTTTCTGGCTAGACCTACTACACTGTGCCGAGAAATCAATAGTTGGCCCTTTGCCTCGGAGTGTTGGTAAACGTTTGTAGGCTTGCACACAATTTTGACGCCATGGGGCAGCTGCTGATGCTGATGCTCAGTCAGATGCCTCCGACGGACTTGCAGCATAAGGATCGGACATGGGACATGGGGCATGGGGCATCGGGCCCAACTTGTAGCTTTGCCACCTCTTCTGCTACGGCCCAGATGGGGCACGATGATGAGGCAGCCCAGGCTGGCGAGGAGTGGAGTGGAAAACGAGAGATGCAAACATGATATGCGAAATTGCAAATACGTGCATTGTCTGCCGCGGAAACTTGGATGTAGATCTGCCAGCTATCCAGCCATCCAGCTACCCAGCTAGCCAGCTTCCCAGCACCCCAGTCCCGACTGACTGACCATCCAACCGACCACATGCTGATGCAATCTTAAATGCTTGTTCCACATGCGAGGCAATAGATGATGCAGAAGGAGGGCTGGCCCGGCCAGGAAGCTACAAGGCCTACAGTAGATATCCCCACCACCTGATCTCCAGGTCCCCTTCTCACCGCTCCTCTTGTGAAATTCATGGCTGGCTGGCTTCGGTCTGGCTTCATTGATTTGCCTGGGCGGCCAGTCAAGTGTCCATTCAGTAAAAATCGCAGGGCCAGCGCCTAAGCCCCCGACTTGATTAGTAAGTAACATTATTTCTCTGTCCCACCGAAGCTTAATGCGAATATCTATGCCCCCCCTACGGCTCGGCCTCCTTTGGCCCTGACATTGAAAATGTTGCTTGGCAGCAATTCCAAGTTGTTAAGTGCGAGTTGGCCGGGTTGTTCGGGTTGTTAGTGTTTGCCGCTAGCATCTTCGACATTGTTGTAAAACTTGTTAGAAATTTTCCTAAAGGCACACAAAGGCGGTGGCCGAAAGGAGGAAGTGTGACAGCAGCAGCAGCAAGTTTCCTACAGAGCTAAAATATCTTTTAGTTTTTCTGGCTTTTTCAAATCGATTTGAAGTTAAACAGGGGTCTTGAATGACAAATAACTACTATTTCTTATCGCTTTAAGGCAGTGGTGTATTGTGTTTCAAACAAAGATTGTGTGTGTTCTGGATTTCTTTCAGTGCATGTGGGGAAAATCGTGAGGAGGAAAGCGAACACAGGAAAGCAATATGTGTTATTATCCCCCGGTTCGGTTCGGTCTCTTTCAGCATCGCCTGACCCAAAATGCAATCTCCCAACAAGGATTGAGGATGTGTGACCGTAAAATACGAGCTTGTATAAATAAAAAATGGTTAGACGATAGAATAGAATCCATCGCAGGAGGAGTGGGAGCTAGAGGAGGAGGAGGTGCATGGTGCGTGTGCCTTGAATTGATGGGAATTAGTTGCAAGCGATTGCGTGGAAATGAAGTGCAAAAAACTCAACTTTTAGACTCGATACTGGGAGAAATACGAGTGGATTGCAAATTCCGATAACAAGAGCGGAAAATGTCATCTGAATAGTTCGAGGGGCCGCCGGGCAATTGCGGGGCGACTGAATCGGAAATAAATGTGCAACTGATTTCAATGGAAATGCTTATTGCTCTACAAAAAGGAAAGAGGGTCTGATAAGCAAACCCCAGTGGATGCTAATGGACCAGGAGTGCGGAAAGTCAAAGGAAATCCTCCAAAAAAATGAGAGCGAGCTTATTTGAATGAAAACTTTATTGAATAAAAGGTAAGGCCAAGTGGAATGGAGTGGAAAATGTTTAAAATGTGTTTAAAAAGAGATACAAATTTGGATATATGCTTTAAGAAAGTACCTTAAGTAAGAAAGTACATTTAAGTAAAAGAACTTACCATCTTGGGGCTTGGCCTTTGCCACCTCGTGGGCCTTCTTGCGTGGCTTCTTGTCCTCCTGTGGCTCGGCCTTGCGCTTGCCCACAGTGGGCGGTATGTCGGCCTCGTCCTCCTTCTGGGCGCCGCCAATCACATTACCGTTGTTGTCAAAGTCCTCGCTGTCGGGAGCGTTTCTCAGCGGCAGGGCAATGGGATCTCCCAGAGCCGGCGCGCCTCCGCCTCCGCCTACGTTTCCCCCGGCCGCAGGTCCGCTGCCAATCCCACTCGACCCGCCCTGCGACGCCCGCCGCCGCGTGTCATCCGTGTAGACCAGAAAGGCTATGCAGAACCAAATGGCCACCAGAAAGGCCACCAGCTTCACAATGGTGGTGGAACGTCGTCGCCAGATGAAGGCCATCTTTGGTGTTCCGGAGCTCTGGGCTCTGTGGTGCTACTCGATGATGTTTTTATTTCCCAGAAGGTGCTAATGGAAGCAGCTATCACACCTCCTGCCTCTATCACTCTCTCAGTTTCTTTGTGTTTTTCAGCGATTGTGCTTTCACTTAGTTAGAGAGCAACTCTGGGGCCGACAACATTGCGTATACGCAACATTAATCAAAGCCTGGCAATGATTTATGTTTCAGGATATGTGTTTCTCGGTTTCCAATTGTTTTTTCTTCTGGCTTGGATATGTGTTGTCCTCTTGGAAGATATCAAATATGGTTTATAGCAGTCTGTGCTGTCAATCAGTCTGAACCGTGTGGATATGTGCGAACCAGTTGCTTAACGATGTACAGAATCTTCTGGGAATGTCCTGCAAATGAAAGGCAAACAGAAAAAGGGATCAGATTCAATTTCACAGACCTCAAGGGCAGGTGAATGCAATTAATTTATTGCATTAAGCCATTAAATTGAAACGCAAATCAAATAATTGAGCCATTAAAGATAATATTGATTTTTGATTTCTGCAGCCTCGCTTCTGCATCATCTTTATCTTCATCCTCCAGAGCCGATGCTTCTGAGGCTTCTGAGGCTGCTGCTGTTGCAATTAAGCTTCAAGCTCTCAATCTACGGCCTCGGCACAAACATAAAACGACAGCCAACATGCAACTAATGTCAATATTATATAATTGCAGCAAAAACCGCATCAGAACTTTGTACCGATTCACTGCCCGTCCACCCCGCTCTCTGCCTTCCCGTGACCACTTGAGTGGCTGCCAGGTAAATGACATGGACACGCCACTTGAGCCCCGAGCCAACGAATCAGAACGGGACAGAGTTGGAGTTACAGCCGAGTCCATGCCCTAAGCAGGCCAGTACACAGAGAGATATTCACTTCATTTCAGGGAAATATCACTCATTTAGAGATTAAAGTTCATCCCAGTGTAGTGCGGAGTGTGGTAAGTGGCAGGTGAGGGGGCTCGAGTGCTTGCCCCACAGAGAGCAAAGTTGCGTGTCAGGTTGGCGCATTGCATCCACCGAGTGGAAGAAGCAAATATGGCAAAAGAGCCACAAAACAAGAAATTGTGGTTCCCTTCCTTGCCTGCCTAACCGCAGTTGAATACCCTTCGATGCTAATCCAATTAGCGACTGCGTGGTGGGGAGTGGGTTGTGTGAATGGTCAGTGTTTGAGATTGAATTCGATAGTGGTTTCCATTGAACTCTGGGAAGGATTAGTTTCTAAAGCTGGCCAACTAGTTTCCAAACAAATCAGGCATGAAATTCTCATTAGAAATGTTTGAAAATCTGCTGTAGCCTCCTTTATTTCTTCATGTGTATCTCCAGGTGCCAACCCAATTTGCATTATTTTCTATAGCCTTGGCTACCCAACCGAACACGCTGAAAGTCCATTAGGGAGAGAGGTATGAAAGAATGGAAAATGAAAACTAATAAACATTAAAGAGGGCCGTGATCGCGGCCCATTGAAGGCTTCTTGGCCAGCTGGTGCACCAGTTGCAGTGGCCCCTGCTAATTGACTGCACATTCTGTTGGCTTAGAGGATGCCAGGGTCAGCTGGGGATCGGCCAGTTTCTCTGGGGCCAATGCGACGCCAAGGTTATTAATTCGAGAGCCATGTAGGGGGCACATGGACCCCTTTTTCCAATAGCCCTTTGCCCAAGCCCATGTCCAAGCCAAACTAACTACTACGGCAACAATGTGTGCATACAATAAATACAAGTTAATTACTTCGTGTGCCTTTTGTTATGGCTCGTTGGGTTCAAGTGCCATCAGTGGGTTGTGGATACTGGGTAGTAGGGAGACCCTTCTCCCAAACACTCTACCACCACCCCCTATGATTTTCTCCCCATGCTATGTTGGCAATTTCCGTTGTATGCGCTTATAAATTGAAAACAAAAGAGAAAGACTCCGGCAGGGGGTTAGGGAACAGCATGTCATGTCCTCACTCAGCTGTAAAAACAGCAACACACACTCCCACACACAACTACACAAGGTTTGCTCTGGCAAAATAGAGCGATTAAAGTTGGCAGACAGGTCGTTAGGGGGCATAGACTATGCCGGGGGCACAGTGGTTCAGAGGGGCTAAAAGGGGGGACATGTCCAAACCAAATGTTGACAATCTCAATTATTATATTCAGAACCAGCCGAAAACACCGACCACCGACCATTGACGCTAATTGGCGGACTTCGGTTGACGGCTTTCATCAATTTATGAACTCCGATTTTTGGTTTCGCAGTCACTATGTATATTTCCTTAACCATTTGCCAAGTAAACATCAAATTTCATAATAAATCAACTGACTGTCCTGCTAATATTCCTCGAACAATGTCGCATCGCTATCCAGGTTTTGATTATTAATTAAAATGCGCTGCTGTCATTGTGGAATTGGTTTCCCTGCGGTCCACGCGGCGTATGCGCAATATCGGGTTTTTTTTGGGTTTTTGGGGTTTTATTGGCTTTGCTTTTGGTTTTTGTTCTGCAAACTCCCATTTTTACCATGATATCGTAATATTAAATGGCTCTCGATGGGGGAATATGTTCCTCTCTAAATTGCCATTTAATGGAAGCTTTTATTTTGATTTTCTCCTGGGTTGTTAGTTTGGAATGTTATTCATTTTAGAGCTTAATGCACCACATACTATAATATAATTTGGCTTAAGGATGGTATTTAGTCTAATTTAGAACACACTAGTATGGTTTCCATTTAGGCACAACAACTAATTAGAACTCTGAAAAAGCAATTATGTTTAAGCCAGATACACACTATGAGTTTCAGCCTGCAATTATGTTTATTTTTCCTAAACTAAAATGCTTATCATCGGAAAATTTCTTCCTCATTCTTGGCTAATGATTTGTGGCTTTGTTTTGAAAAAACCCCCCAAAAACTATGCAATATCTAGATAAGGGCCAACAACAAATCTTCCAACAGGAAGTCAGCATAAGTAGAGGAAATAGGTAACGACCTGATTGGTGTTGCTATTGTGGCGATGACAGCCAGTCTTTCCTATTCTCAGCCGGCAGTTTTTTTCTCCCGGGGCTACTTGTCTGGGCCTCACCTATTCCACCTGTCTTATCTGCCCATTTGCCGGGCTTTCGTCCCGTGTTGGGCCTTATCGCCCGGCTAATTGACTGATAAGCGAGTCGAGCAATTTGTGCGCTCCCTGATGAGTCTAGTTAGTGTTTTTTCTTCTTTTGCTTCCGCGATAAGATACCTGCAATTAAATTGAATAGCCAACGAAGGCAGGTGAGCCAGCGAAAAGCAGAGGCATTGAGAATTGTTCCTCGAAAATTGCTTTTAGTTTGGATCGCCTTATCTCGCACCGACATTAATCAGGCCTTTCAAAAATAATTACAGAGATAATTCGTCGAACACTTAACTGCAAATTAAAGCGGCAAGGAAAAGCCTCAGTTCGCTCGTCTGGGGGAAAACCTCAAATTACGCATAACAAAGTCCGAGAATTTTCGCATTTTCTTCGCCAAAAGAATGGTACACGAAAATGGCGGAAAAAAGTTTATTGTCGCGGTTTTTCTTCCTGCTCTTCCTGCCAGTTTCTAGCTACTTTTTGAATACTTTTCCTTGGCGATCATTTGTCATTTTCTTATGCGGAAACTTTTCGTGGGCGATGGGCGACGGGCGGGTCGAGAAAATGGCTGTGCATTTTCCCGCTGGCTGCGGTTCACGCAGTTTATAATCATTATTATTTATGCAGACTTAATCCACAGTTATTAAAACGCAGCCACAAGAAACGCCCAACCCACCGACTCCTTCGCTCGTTTAATATTCATTTGCATTTGCTGGCAAATGAAAAGTTTTCAGTTTCTAATGAGTTCTTCGAGTCTCGAGTGCATTGAAAATAAGTCGCAGATGTGTCAGAGACCAGGTCATAGTTTGTCCCGAAACTTTTTAGGGGAATTATGTCCAACCATAAGTCAAGTTCCATAAGTTTGGGATCACAGAGAACGCAAAAAAAGAGGAGCACTACTAGTACCACTAGAAATAAATCGAAAATTATTTTTTCCACTATCCTGAACTGAGCAAACGTGTTTCTTCTGGTTTATGGGAAATGGGGAAAAAGCGACCCCAAAGTGGCTGAGAACCCCATAGCCAGAAAACTGGTAGATAGATGCCACTGCCACTGCCAGTTTCAGTGCTACTACCATTTTCACCAGCATTGATGATGATGAGGCTGCTGCTGCTGGTGCTGTCGCTGCAGTTGCAGCTTCGGTTCGTGGAAAGAAAGTTGCCATGGAGAAAATTTAATCAAAATATTTGCACATCCGCCAGCAGCGTGAAGTTGCCAAGGCGACTAGAATTACCAGTCTAAGAAACAGACCAGCATCTGTGGAGGAGATGCCAAGATTGGGGCAGTGGCAGTGCGGCAGTGACAGGGGCAGGGGCAGATGCATGGGTTTGCTGAAAACAGACAGACAGGTCTTCTTTTTCCGAGCAGCAGGTACAGTGAGAATCACAGCAGAGTCACGCAAATTGGAATCTCAGCGAATGGTAATTGAATTTGACTTGGTTTCTGCTACTGATGGGGTGAAGCTGATGAATATTCTTTGCTTAGAATGTTTCAAGGCTTAAAAAATCTAGAATCCTGTCCATATGAAATTTCAAAATTAATTTCATAACTCAAGAAACAATAACCAAACCTGTTCCCTAATTATGTTCCCTAATATACATTTTCCGCGGTTCGAGTGCCCACCGTCTGTGGCTTAGACGTCTCTGCCAGGCAGAACTCCTTTTGGCCATTTGGTTCATGTCACGGAAACCAGTCAGACCTCATTTGGGATAGCAAATTCAACCGCTGCGGCGCAACTTCTTCATCTTGACGATCAACTTCATTTGAGCCCGGTGCATCACGAAACGCTTCGGTTTTTCCAGCCGGCAGGCAGGCAGCATCTTTTTAGCCTGGTTGTTTTCTTTGACAATTATTTACCGTTGGCGCTTAACTGTTAATTTGCGAGCAAGGTAACCAGTTTAAGCCATCGACCACCGCAGGACAGGACAGGCAGCATCGACCCGTCTGAGCCGCATTCTCGGGCCAACAATCGGAGGCATGCCACGCATTTTTTGTGGCTCTTAATTTGACAAACGGGAGCGCAAAATGCATTTCACCTCCTCCCCGGTGGCAAATGGGAAAATGTAATTAAATGTTTTTCATCTAACATCTGTGTCGTATTTCTACCCCCCCATGGCTTATAGTTTTTTTGTCCAGTTTGCAGGATGAGCGAGTGATAGCCATTAAACTGCAATTAAGTAATTGCCAGTCCGGAGTCCGGGAGATGTATGGCTTTGCCATATTTCTGTCCAGATGGAGGCAATTGACGAATAAATTAATTCGAATGTTTGGAAAGTTTTTTGCCAACTTTGTTTATTGGGAAGTTGAATGAACCCCCTCTGATCTCATCATAATTATCGAAGCAGACATCCAATCTATGACAACTGGCCCGCAAACTGTTTCCTTTGTGGCCAGAAACTTGTCAAAAAGTCAGAACAGAATTCCGTCTAATTCATTCAGCAACTAAGTCCGAACTGTCCGGCAGAAACTTGCCAAACTTGTTGGCCAAACCCAACCCGAAATCAGACTACTAACGAAACCAACAAGAAATCTAAGAAGCGTTCAAACCAAACGCAATCTGAATTCTCTAGATTTGGTTTGCGGACCACCAGCTCAGTTTCCATTTTTTTCTTTTTTCATCTCTTGGCATTTTTCGCTGACCTTGCACTTGCAAGACTTGGAAACAAGGTCAGCATTTCTTAAAGGCTTTGCCAAAACCAGCTGCTAACTAATTTGGAGCCAACTCTATGTTGGCCAAAACAAATAAAAATAAATAACGAAAAACGTTTAAAGTAGAACTCGCAATGAGCCGCAAGGAAATCAATTGTTCATTTGCATATGCATGAGTTTTCCACCTGCAGTGTCCACTTTTCCGCATTTTCCCTCTGTTTTATTGCACGACCTCAATATATTTATTTGTTTGCCTTTTCGTTTCGATTTTTTTTTTTTTAGATTTTTTTATTGTTGTGCAGTCAGAGCTCCCTGCCCAGACTTCCCAGAGTTTGAAGTCAAAGCTGTTCCGGAGGCCCTCAATTCCATTTCCATTCCATGGCGTTTTTCAACCTGACCGGTCGACGGCGGCATCTTCACGATTTTCACGGTTCGTTCTTCTTTTTTGCACGCTTACTTCGCTTCTCGATGCTTTTCGGCCGAAGCTTGGGCCTTTTTGGCCATTTCGGCTTTTGTTTGAGTTTCGATTTTTGTTGGTTTTTCCACCACTTCACAGAGGGAATTGCATTTTGCCGCTTCCACTACGCTTGGCCCTTGGCCAGTTTGGCCATCAACTTTGGCAAATTGAATAAGAAACTAATTTCCAACAAACAGTGAAGTATTTGCTAGAGAAACCTTCGAGTTGGCAGACCGACAAATACCTGAGTTTCACAAAACTATGAAATATGACTAATTTATGTTATTTTTCTACATATGTACATAGCTTTCTGTAGTCCTCCAAATCCCATAAATCCCACCAAATAGAACCAAATAGGATGTTTGCCAAACTAGTCAAACGTAATAAACCACACAGAGAGCTATCAGCGTTAATTCTGTTTATTCAGGTTAACAGAACAAACAAAATCAAAGCCAAAAAAAAATTAATTTATTACCAACAGAAGGATTGGAAAAGGATAGAGGAGCAGGAGGCTCGTACTACAGGCTCGTAAACAGATTTAGATTTAATCAAATGATTGCCCAGAGCTTGATTTGAGTTGCGAGCGGCTGCTGGATTCGGTAATACTCTCAATATATTTTCAATGTGGCAGCTCGATTAAATATTCCACACCATGGCGAATGTTCTACAGAACGACGCGGCGACGGGCCTGCGGAAAAATGTTTGCTGCGCCGGCCATGAAACATGAGAAATGGCAACAGATTTTGGCCAAAACACACACACACACTGCCTGTGAGGGCGGCACGAATAGCAATAGCAAACTATCATCGTCAGATTTTATATAGAGTGTTTTTTTGGGTCACCCATGGACAGCGTATACTTTATTTTATCTCGTTTTTTAGGGGCCCTTTTTGCCGGACCCCAGAGGAGTGGGCTGCGGAAGATAATTCGGTTTCGTTGTGGCGGAAAATGAAAAGCGGAGTAGTCTCGGGACAGGCCGGAAAAATCGAAAATGTTACGCCTGAAAATTGCCTGTCAAATGACAAAAATGGTTTCATTTTCTGTATGGTTGTCCTTCGTATATTTTCCTTTTTCCCTAATCGCTGTTGGTCATTTTTCCCTGTCTAGGCTCGTAACGTGCTTCTATTATATATTTATTTTCCTGCCTCGTCCCTTCCATCCAGCGCCACAGCTCCCCCACATTTTTGTTAGCAGCAGATTAGGGCCCACATTCTGTGGTCAACAAATAAAAAAAAAAGGTCAAAAATGGAGCACCGAAGGGAAGGATAAAAGTTGTGGCACTATGCCGAAGAAATTGAAAATAACATTTGTTGGAATTTTTCGCCGAGGTTCGCCATGTCCAGCAATTTGCTTCGAGCCAAGTTTTGTATATTTTTTTTCGGCAAAGGTCAGAGAAGGAGGACTGGAGATGACTGGAATTTGATCATAAACGATATTGCTGAAAGTTTATGGAAATTGGATCCACTTAAAGTTTGTCACAAGGTCCTTGGGAACTTGATCTGCTTTTATTAAACTTCCTTAAGACTAGGCTTTCGTTGGTAATTAATTATAAACTTATCCTGCGTAAGTCAGAGGCTCTGCGCTTAATTTCTTATTAAATCCATTTGCAGTTGTGCCATTCGTTAAAGCAAAATCAATTTGGAATCCCCCGGGAGCTAAGCTTCCTCCACCGGATGAAACGCATTGAACCCTGCAGCGTTTTCCCAGCCACTGGACGCACACATATCGCTGGTGGATTACGTTGCCGATGCACGTTGGATATATGGCAATTACAAACTGCTTAAAAGCAAATAAATCGCTGCCAGGCAATTGCATCGACGATGGTCAAAGGATAACGAGTATTTGTGGAGCTGCAGGAAATACAATAAATACACATAAACATATATATAAGCATTTGCCGGTCCATTTAATGAGGCAGCAGAAAGACAGAACTGCGCCAGCGACAGCGGCAGCGGCAGCTCGTTATCCCTGGACTATCTGAGGATCTGGTTCTGGACACGAGCGACATAAAACTGTCAAAAAGTCGCCTATATAAATCGCTAAACTAAATGCCTTTCATAGTTTAATGTCACCTCCAGGGATTTGAGCCAAAGGAGCCCAAGGCGAGAGATCTGTGTGCAAAGAAGGGTCCCGACCAGACAAGGTGTCTCTATCTTAGGAGCATCCTCGTCCAGCAGCTTCCACGCCTCGTTGTCATTAAAGCCGAATGAATTATGCAGTAGCCCAAGTGAACTACTTGCAGTCCGTCCTTGGCCAACAAAGCAGATGCAGTCCACCAGGGGAAAAGTGCTCTCAAATAGAGAAGGTTTCTTTCGAAGCAAATGGGCCAACCCTTTAGATCCCTTTCGTTTTTCTGTCTGTATCATACCCAAGAGACCTGGAAAAGACAGCAAAGACCATTCAGCCAGTTGACCATCTCTTGTCGCGACTTGCAGTTTGTTTGTTGTTTTAATTAACTAATTAAGATTTTTCTAGTTGCGCCTAGGTAGAACCGAGGGCGAGCAGTCGCCCAGGTCTAAGGAATGCCTGCATTATTTGTTGCAGCCGAGTTGCTAAGGACCCAATTAACCTTTTATGGCCATTTGGCACAATAACGAGGCCAAGAGCGAGAGCCGGCCCTGTCGCCAGAGACACACAAAAGCAACAGAAACCAAAAAAAAAGTCGAAAAGGCAAACAGCCACAATCGAGACAATGAAACCTGGTCCTGGCCAGTTAGTTGGCCAAGTTGGGTAAGTAGCCGGCCATGTTCAGTGAAATTGTTAGCCATATTTGGCGCACAAAACAATGGCTATCATAAATTCCAGCTACAAATTGACATTGAAAATTTGTTTGTTTTTTCTCTCCATCTGTTGACTTACCTTTCCATACAATTTTTTCTCCGGTTTTCTTGATTTTCTTGATTTTGACTCTTTGGATTTTGTCTCGAAGCTGCAAATACACAAAAGGAGTCAGGTATTTGACCAGGTTTTAATAGATTGCCCACTTTCAGCCCACATTCAGATAATAAAGTAATTAGTTAGCTTATAAAGGATTCTGAATTTATGACACTGGCTCCATATGCTGGCCGTGGGAGTTCCACTTCCGCTCTGGGCCGCCACGCACCTGGAAAATTTCCCATAATAATGCCAGCGATTCACGAATTACGCTAAACACAAAATTTATATTCCTTATTTATGGTGATTGTAAAAAGTGTTTAAGTGGATTATTAATTGTGTGAATTCAATGCAATTAGAAATTATACAGGAAGTGCCATTAAACGTTATAGATTTAACCCATTTTTTAGCCAAACATTTTCGTTTTGGGTCACCAGCCAATCAATATGGTTACAGACTTTTCTCTTCTCCACTCAACTTGGCTTTCTCCTGGGCCCAATTCCAACGCCCACATGCTCGGTGTGCATATTATCGCACATTTTTCCTGCTTTTTGCCATTTTTCCCCCAAGTGTCCAAACCGGTTAGGTGTTGGCCGATGATATGCAGCTACTCCAAGGCCCACGAGGACGGACTGGCGGACAACAGTTTGGCACTAAAGTCAGATCCAATCGCTTGGCATGGAGCTGCTAAATAATGTGGGTAGCAACCGTTCGGCTGTGGATGTGACCAACTCACCCAGATACATGGACCCGACACCCATTGCAGCCGCATATCTGACGGCTAATTGAAATGGCAACACTAATTAGTAATGCTCTAAAATGGTAGCTGCACTTCCCTTGGCAACACAAAAGCCAGATAAATCACAGCCTGCCTGAAAACAAAACACAGAAGCGAGAAACGACAACAATATGTTGTGGTCCCGATCAGCTTAAAACTACTTACAGGAACTGACCACCCAGACTGCTGAAAACATCGATGCCATCGAGTTCATTAAAGTAAATGGTGGTCCATAAACCTTAAGCCGATTACAAGAACGATTCCCCGCTTTGCCGAAAGGGGTTCCTCTATGAACCTCTCTTCCCGAAAATAAATGGCGTAAATTATTTGCTAATGATCGTGCTACAAAGAGGTCTCACAGAAGACCGACTTACGTCATGGGGCTATCATCATCAGAGTCAATTTTTTAAACAATTGTCTTGGGGTCTTGACCACTCAATGCTCAGTACTCACGGCCCATTGCCGCATCCCGCATAATCATCGATGAGCGAAGGTCACGTGGCTACAACTATACACGCGATGCTTCTTTCAGGTATTAACTAAAGCCGATGCTTGGATTTACATAGCTGGAAAACCAGTTATCAGAGGCCTCGTCATCTTGGCCACGAGCTTAGCTCTTATTTTGGATGTTTTTCAAAGCTTAGAAATAGGCGGGTTCCATGAAATTCTTTCGAGTCAATAGAGCATCGCAAGATGAACCTCTAACAACCGCAAAACTAATTTTCTCTTTTTCGAAAAAAAGCAAGCAATTATTTGGGTTTTAACTTTAACATATTTAGAAAACAATAAAAATTCCCCAACAAACCATCACAGAAGGAAAAAAAGAACCAAAAACAAACGGAAAAACATAAAAATGCCAGGTAATAATTTCTCGCAAGTTGTTTTCGCTTCAAAAAAAATTCGAATTATTTACGGAACTACCATGGACAGGAATGCCCTTTCCCCTGAACCCCAACCAAAGACGTTCCTCTCGAGTGGGCAAAGGACAAGACACTGATGTTGTTGCTGCCCCATGTTGCTCGCCCCAGTGTTGTTGTTGTCGTGTCAGCAGCATCCGGGGAATGCAAACTGCAAGCTGCAGGTTCGGTTCGCCTGGGTACTACGGTGCAGAGATGATGCAGTTCAGAAATTGCAAAATCATGCAATTTGTGGGCACTTCGAATGCAATCAACAAAACTGTTTGATTTATGATCATTTGCAGTTTGCACTAATTTTTCAAATCACAAAAGGCCGAGGCCCACAAAGCCTGACTCGACACAAAAATTAATCATCGCAGAGGCAGGCCGAGAGCCAAAAGATAGATATTACAGATACAGAGACAAAGAGGAAGCAGTCTTGAAGGATGGGGCCCAAGGAATCATTACAATCAATAACTAAAATCGATTTTGGGCCTTAGTAGGCCTTCAGTAGCTGTTTTGTTTCGTTTTAAATGCCAAGTGTGGTCGTGACACGTTTAAAAAAAGTTTAAAAACCTGATAACCGAAGAGTTTAAGGTTTAGAGTCTTAGTAGACTGTTTTCCACTGTGTGGCTTAGAGACCTCTTACAACTAGTCCCTAGGGCAGCCCTTAGTGGAACATAGACGAAGGCGGAGTCCCCAGACTTGTAATTATGCTGGAACTTCCTCTCAACCGAGGGACCAGCCCTAGGACCCTGGCTCCTCTGGCAGCTCCCTTTTTGCATTTTGATAAACGAGGCAACCCCTCGCCCAGACTTTGGAGCGATCAGTCTTTACAACGTCTTCATTATGAATTATGCGTTTTGCAGTTTCTCGGCTCCCCCAGATCCCTACATAGATTCCCAGATACCCAGACTTCAAGTTTTTATCTGAGGCTTCCCATGGGACATAACTTTTATTTTATCGCCCCGAAACGAGGCAGAAGGACTGCTTATCGCTGTCTGTCTCTGTGGAGCCAAAACTTTTGCCAACATGTTGCAACTAATTACATAAAGCGACACGTGCACGTTGTAATTTTATTTGTTACAACTTGAAATTAGCATGAATTTGCTAATTAGCTGTGATTGTAAAAGTTGCAGGCGAAGCGGCGACTGCAGCGCCATATAGCAGGTATGTACGTACTGACGACATAGATGGCCTCGTAGAGGCTCTGTATCTGTATCTCACAGCTACACAAATCTGAAGCTACTCCAGACAATCTGAATTATGTAGCTTGGCGACAGAGAAGCCACATAAAACTCTTGCAATCTATTTATAAGCTTATTTGGACCCCCTTTCATAATTTTTGATTAATGGGCTTGGCTTATCACTGCCAGGCTTATCAACTAGCAAATATATTAAAATTTTCAACTAATAAACTCATATCAATTGGCCAACTTGCTTGGAATTCCACGAATAAGCTGACAGCTTGACAAACTAATGATGGCGAAAGGAAATCGAAAAATAAAGTCTGTCAGATAGGCCATATTTCACTCCAAAAGAGACAGTACGTCTATATATATATTTGTAAACACAGAATGTTTGTTTTTTGTGCAAAATTCTTTGCCTTCTCCTGCCTGGTAATGAACTCTGAATTTTGCATTTATTATACTCCATTCCTTTTTAAAAATAAAATGTTTACATTTATTTAAATTCATGTAACTGCTGTGCAAATTGTATGTTTTTTTGGGTATGGGCCTTTTGTTTTCATAGAGCAAATGAGGATTATGCCGCATTCAGCTTTTCCAGGAATTGTAAAAAAAATAATTTCATAAATGAATTTTTATATCTCATCACAGATAACAACAAAGGGAGGCAGAAACTGCCAGGCATTTGACAAAAAACATTACCCCAAATTTGATTAAACAAAAAAACATTTATCGCGTTTATTTATGGATGATATCAGTGGGGAAAAAAATAAAAATATAATAATAGAAACAAACAAAAAAACAGCCTTGGGGGCATCATCGACAGTGAAAGTGATCCAATGTGGCAGATGATGATGATGGCACAAAAAAAGAGCTGAACAAGAGTGACTGCTACCAGCATTCATGGAGTCTCGGGCATTAGCTTTACATAACTCCAGACAAAGCCAAAAATTAGCAAAGTTCAAAAGAAAATATGAAAAAGTATAATCATGACTTATGAAATATGGAACGGGAAATGTTCCGTGAATGCCAATAAAAGTTATGTAAGGAAGTCATGGCAATTATGATTAGAGGGGATTAAAAGCTTAATGTCATTTTGGCATAAACTTTAAATAAAAAAAATGCAATAATGCATTTAAATTAGCAATCGATAAAAGGACAAAAGGCTTAAAAAATTTGCACAAATTCCAATTTGGAAACTAACTTAATTAAATATCCAGAGAAGCATAAAAAATGCCCGCATAATGTTTTCATTTCCATCTAATTACACTCTCACTTGGCTAAACTTTAATTGCAACCTGATAACGATATTCCGCCCAACGCAGTGCTGCTTTAATTATTTTTTTTCTTGATCCAACTTTCTTTGTTTATAAACAAAAAATGAAAAACAACAAACACAATTAGAGTGCTCAACATGTTGGAAGACAAAACAGGTGCCCTCGACCACTGACAATAGGCCAACAACAAAAAGTAACCAAATACAAACAAGTGAAAGAGTCGGCACGAGGGCCGGTGAAAGAGACAGGGGGGGCAAGACTGGCATAAGTAAATAGCTGTAAAAATCTCCAAAAGGCAATCAGACGGTTGTTCACCTGGTCTTGGTTTCTTGTTTCAACGCCGCAACACCTTTTGGACCGTGCCCAGTTTTATTTGGTTATGTTTTTCATTCTTCACCCGATGTTCTTTTTTTTATATTTTTGGTTAATTTGCCAACGTGCCTGGCATTCCACTTCATGACTCGCAGCCGTCCATGTCAATTTGAATAGGTTTTTTGGCCAGCTACCGGCTCCCGGTCGGTTCGGGGTGTTTTCGGAATTATACTTTTATCTGGCTCTATCTGTAACACATTTCGCGGGTGTTGATTACCAGGCGACCCACATAACCACTGACAACTTGGCTTCATCTAATTAAACTTGCAACACACACAAACACCCAGGCAGCAGCAACAACAAAACATGGCTAGATCCGATGAAGCAGACGCCTAATTACGGCTCAATCAACTGGGCCCGGCTGCAACTTCAACTTCAGCTAGAGCTTCAGCTGTTGACTGTTGATTGTTGGATGTTGCAGCCGCTGTTGCTGCTGCTGCTGGTGCTGCTGATGCTGCAGGGCTTGGAAAATTGCCTCATGGCGACCCATCGCCATCCAATGGGTTACCTAACTTCCAGCTTAATGACTTCACTTCACCGGAGAT